CCACATGCCAGACTGTTCTTTGTTTTTGATTTTTTAGACAGGATCTCACTCTAGCCCAGGCTGACCTGGAACTCACTGTGTAGCCCAGATTAGCCTTGGATTTATGACAGTCCTGCTTCAGCCTTCCAAGTGTTGGGGCTGCAGGTGTCAGCCATCACATTCCATTTGGGTTCTGTTTATGTCTGTGCAGGGTAAGGCTTGGGTCCACAGCCTTCCATTAACTCCTAAGAATCTGAAAGGATCAAGGGCACTGGGCAGATCCCATTGTTCACATACTTAGAGGGACTGTTCTAGGTAGGGATGCTAGTGGGTAGAAGTTATGGGGTGGCAGAATTTGGTTGTATCAAGGCCAAGTGGCACAAAGAGAAGGGAAGGAACATCTCGGTTTGAGCCTCATCCCTAGATAGAACCTATGGTTCACTCTGGGCAGAGAGAATTTTAGTCTCCATCTCCTTTTCAACAACTCATTACTAGATTGTTTTTTGTTTTGTGTTTTAGATAATGAAAAATTGTTCTTGCCAGGCATGGTGGCACATGCCTTTAATCCCAGCACTTGGGAAGCAGAGGCAGGTGGATCTTTGTGAATTTGAGGTTAGCCTGGTCTACATAGCGAGTACCAGGTCAACTGGAGCTACAGGAAGACCCTGTCTCAAAAACAAAATTGTTTATTCTTATGTGTGTGTGATACATGCATGGGTATTTATGTGTATGGCACATGTGTGGATTTGTTCTCCCCTTCCATCTTAAGGTGGGTTCCAGGGATCAAGCTCAGGTCATGAGGCTTATTCAGCAAAGTGCTTTAACCACTGAGCCATCTCACCAGTCTAAGATCTTTTGTTCTTTTTCTTTGAATGTCCTCAGATGCTGGGCAGGTATTTTGGTAAGTAAACACCATAAAGCTCTTAAAGTTACTAAACAGGAGAAGAATGAACCCATAAAAGCCCTGTTAAGTACTTGGCTTGTGTCTTGGGGCAGCAGGCCTTTTCCACCTTAGAGCTGTTTCCATTTTGGCCATGTCAGCCATGTCCTCCCCAACCCTGTTTAGCCAGTGGTCCTGTGCAAAGGTCCCAGAAAGGAGACAGAGCCAGAGCTGTTGGGCTCGACTTCCTTGGTAACTTCATGGAGTTGCAAAAAAAAAAGGAGCTTTTCACAAAAGCCATGTGTCTGGTAAGTGTTACTGCAGCAGAAAGAGTGGGCTTAATGGGGATGCAGCCTCTAAGCCACCTTATTACCCACGGAGTAGGTGCAGTAGGTGGTAGAGCCTATGTGTCTGGTGATAGTGAAGGTCACCTGAGGTATTGTCCAGGGCTGGCTCACTTTCAGCACATGACATGGGGCATGGGTTCTAGGGCTTCCCGGAAGGAGTAAGTGGTACTTGGAAAAGTGAGGTTCAACTGGTGGATCTAGAAGTGAGGAGAGAGTGAACCAGTGGGGAGGGTGGATCTGGGGATAGAATCCCAATTTTTTGTTGATGTTGGTTTTTTTGAGATGGGTTAGCCCTGGTTGGCCTGGAACTCACTATGTAGAACAGGCTGGCCTCAAATTCAGAGGTCCATCTGCCTCTGCCTCCCAAGTGCTGGAATTAAAGGTGACTGCCACCACACCCAGCCTTAGAGTCCTAATTTTCTTTGCAGCAACACACTAGATTTTTCTCTCATAAAATGAGAAACTTCCACATTGCGCAAATACCTCCAAGGATGTCTGGAATTAAAGAGCTTTGCCTTCATACTGCAAAGATCCAGATTGAAGTTCACAGGTCGGATTAAAGCCCAGTTAGAGCATCTGGAAGCCGGTCTGGATTTCATGCCCCATTGTATGGCTCTCCTTGGTGCTAGCCCCTGTGTGACTGCCTGGTTGGCATTAATCTTTGTGTGGCAGTGAACCAAGATTTTGGCTGTTGCTGGCAGCCAGGAAAGAGGGTTCAGGGCCTCAGCCCCTATCTCTCTGCAGCTAGGTATCTATCTGATAGATGGGTAAGAGGTGAGGTGAAGGAAGTCCACAGTGAAAGCTTGCAGAGCTGAGCAAAATCCCCCAGATTGCAGTCTGGAAGGGAAGATGGGCTGAGTTGAGCTGGAGGAGGGAGAGGACAGGCAGCATGCCAGTGGCCCAGCTGGAGGAGGTGCTGGGGTGGCCCGGCTGGAAGAGCAGAGCGGCCAGTGCCATGAGCCAGATTGTGTAGCGGAGGAAATGGGTTTGGAGTTGGCAGCCCCCAGTTTGCTCCCTGGGTGGGTGGTGAGGAGCTGGCTGTGGGGAACCTCAATTCCATGCACTGGAGGCCTATGAGGGCACTGAGGTAGTATGGGTTTGGTGGAGTTTTGTTGTTTTGTTTGAGTTTTTGAGAGAGGGTCTCAGCCGGGCATGGTGACACACTCCTTTGATCCCAGCACTGTGGAGGCAGAGGCAGGCAGATCTCTGAGTTCAAGGCCAGCCTAGTCTACTTGGTGAGTTCCAGGCCAGCTGGGAAGACCCTGTCTCAAACAGACCAAAAGAGTGAGACAGAGACATAGACAGGGTCTCATGTAGCCCGGGCTGGCCTCTAATCACTGTAGCATGAGGACAACCTTAAACTCCTAATCTTCTTGCCTCTACCACCCAAGTGCTGGAATTGCAAGCATGTGCCACCCTGTCCAGCATGGTGGTTTGGGTTTTTTTCTTAAGGACAGAAGGTCTTGGGTCATGGAAAGAATTAGAAGCTATTTGGGGAAAAGGTTGGTAAACAGCAGAATGGCGCCCTAAGATGGGAAGAGGGATTGGTGCTCAAAGCAGGATAACACTTGCTCCTGGTCAGAGTGCAGGTGCTGGGGAGAGGGTACTGGGGGGGTGGTCCGGTCCCCAGCAAATCCCCAGTGCCACAATATTAATAATAATGCAAGTGAGGAGCTTTTCAGACTGAAGAGAATAGGAGAGACTGAGACCAGGGTGAGAGGAGGTGGCTGGGTGATTGAAAAGAACAAAGGCAAGAGCAAGGAGAGCCACCCAGGACAGGACAAAGGACTGTGGTATGCCAGCAGGAGCTGGGGAGTCCCTTTTTGGTGACATCAGTGGAACCTGTCTGAGGATCTCTTCCTAAGAAACAACCTGCCTCCAAGCATCCCTCCCCAGTGCCTTAATCTCACCCCCCAGGTACCCCACGACCAACTTCCTACAGTCTGTGCTCAGTGCAGTCTCTGAAATGATGGGAACTCTTATTTTTGGAGGCAGCCAGGATCATCTTGTGGTGGGGAGCTGCTGGGGTCAGGCGAAGGAAAAGGAGATAGTGAGTTTATTTTAAACCCAAGTGGGCACTAGAGCTGCCAGCAAGAAACAGACAGCTCTTGGGGAAAACTGAGATTGGCAGCTGCTCAGACATTTGTCAGGAGTCCTGGAGGCTACCCAGCAGGCAGAAGACCAGGGCCCTGCCCCAGGGCTGGGCATGGTGAGAGTAGCACCCTGGAGCCCAAGTCTCCTGCTCCCCAAGGAGGCAGTGAAGGCTAGAGGACTGGGACCTGCAGTTCAGCAGCCTCCTGAGGTGACACAGAGCCCTGGCTATGAGAACTATTCTTGTCTCCTCCTTCAAGAGTGCCTCTTGCAATCTGTAGCCAGACAGACTGTGTGAATTGCTTTGTGCAGGGCAGAGGAAAGTCAGGCTCTGTTGGGGCCCCTTGTAGCTAAAGTTCCCTCCTGGGGGTATTCTGTCAGAATTCTAGGGAACCAGGTGGCACCTTATCCTGAGAGCTGACCTGGAATACAGCAAGTGACTAGTGGAAGGCTGTCATCTGTGTCCTGCGTGGAAAACCTCATCCATGACTTCACTGCCTGTCAACCTTGCCAAGGGGAGTGAGGGGGCAGATAGAATGCCAATGCCATTGAAAGGGCTACCAGGACCTGGTTAGATGACACTGAAGATGGTCTCTAATAAGAGCTCAGGCCTCTTAAAGGCTGTGACAGCAATAGCTTGAGCCCTAGCACTGCTGAGTGTCTATTTACTTTGAGCACTGAACTGCCTAAGGAGCATGCAGGAACTTCCTGAGTTTGACCAGAGGTCTTCAGGAGTCCACTCTGCATCAAGCTTCTCCTGCTGACCTGGTGAGGTTAGTAGAGATCTTACTTTATCTACAGCAAGTTCACAGAATGCCAAGTTCCAACTCCCCAGCTTGTCTGTGGCACCCTTGCTCTTCATTCTTTTTCTTAAATTTTTTTTAACTTTAATTTTTATTTATTTAGGTCTTTTTTTTTTCCTCTCTCTGTTTTGGAGACAGGGTCTCAGAGCTCACTATGTAGACCAGGCTAACCTTGAACTCACAGACACCCATTTGGCTGGCATTAAAGGCAAGTACCACCATGCCCAGCCTTAATTTTTATTTTTAATTTATTTTTTAAGTCAATACTTTTTTTTTTGCTGTTTTCTTTTGTTTTTTGAGACAGGGTCTCCCTGTAGTCCCAGCTGAACTGGAACTCACTGTGTAGAACAGGCTTGTCTTGAACTCCCAGAGCTCTGCCTGCCTCTGCCTCCCTAGTGCTAGAATTAAAGGTATGCACCACCATGCACCCAGCAAAAGCCAATACATTTTTATTTAGTGGATTTCACATGTGATTCCTTCATTGTTGAGGTCACCGAAGTTCAGGATTTCTTCAAAATAATCCTTTCTTAAAGAACTGATGCTTAATCCTGTTGTGCTAACAGCCTAACCACAGTTCTTTTATGTCTGCATGAATTAAGGGCATATTCATGACAACTTCAAAATTCTCCATCTGAGATCTCTGGCATTCAATTTTTGAAATAGTTTACTTTAGGAACCATTTTAGGATAATGTGCATCTCAATTGCTGACATCCCACTCTCAACAAGAATGAGTTCAGATCATATTTTCTAAATGATCACATTCAAGAATACTGTGATCTCCAAGATATGCCAATGTTGCATTCAAGCATCCATCAGTAAGACAGCTGTCTTTGACTATACACCTCATGTTCAAGACAAGCCTCATCGTCAGCACCATCACTTTGAGCTGTCTTGTGTATCACATTCTTCTTTATGTATCAAAACTCTCACCAAACAGTGAGTTCTGGGTTGCAAAAGAGTTTATTTTTGCACCTGTCTTTCATGCCTTCATCCACCAGTTGTACAAACACACTCAAAGTGCTATAATTTTTTTTTTTTTTGGTCTTTTTGAGACAGGGTCTCCCTGTAGCCCCAGCTGTCCTGGAACTCACTTTGCAGACCAGGCTGGTCTTGAACTCAGAGAGATCCACCTGCCTCTGCCTCCCAAATGCTGGGATTAAAGGCGTGCACTACCACGCCCGGCAAAGTGCTATAATTTTTATTTTTAATTATGTGTATACATGGAGGGATGTTGTGCATGTAAGTGCAATACCCATGGAGGCCAGAAGAGGGCGTCAGATCACTTAGAGCTGGAGTTGCAGGAGCTTGTAAGCTTGGTACAGGAAACCAAACTCAAGACCTCTGGAAGAGTAATACGTACCCTTAACCACTGAGCTATCCAGCCCCCTCATTTTCTTTTGAGATGGTCTCAATATGTATGCCTGACTGTCCTTGAACTTGCCATCTTCCTACCTCAGCCTCAAGAGTGCTGGGGTTATAGGTGTGAGCCACCACACCTGGTTTTAGCTCTTTTGTCCTCTAGCAAGGATATACACACAGGTCCCTCTACCAGGTCCTCCTGCTGTGCCTGTCTGCCTCTTCTGCCCTTGCCTGATTTCAAGCTTCCTGGGTTTTAGTGTTCTACATCACAGCATCAGTTACAGCCACAGGGAGGCCAATGGGCACTTGAAATGTGGCCAGTCAAAACCGAGAAATGCTTCAAACAGAAGACACCTCTGATTTCGAAGACTATGGGAAAAAAAAAGAATGTAACATCTTGACACTAGGGAAGTGGCTCGAGGCAGAGCAGTTGCTTAGCACATGTGAGGCCCTGGATTATTTTATGTTCCTTGCATGTTAGAAGAGTAGGGTAGATCGGATTTACTGAAATGCATGATCTTTTAAAATAGGCTGTTAGGCCAGCATAGTGGCATACTACTTTAATCCCAGCACTTGGGAGGCAGAAGCAGGTGGATCTCTGTAAGATTGAGGCCAGCCTGATCTACATATCGAGTTCCAGGCCATCTGGGGCTACAGGGAGACCCTATCTCAAAAAGACCAAAAAATAAATAAATAAAACAGGCTGTTAGAAAGGATGTTTTGGGGGCTGGAGAGATGGCTCAGTGGTTAAGAACACTGACTGTTCTTGCAGAAGACCCAGGTTCGAATCCCAGCACCCACATGGCAGCTAACAACTGTCTGTAATTCCAGTTCCAGGGGATCCGACAGCCTCTTCTGTCCTCTGCGGGCATTGCATGACACAGGTGCACTTACTTACATGCAGGTATAACACTCATAAAATAAATATTTTTAAAAATACTGTTTTTATTTTATGTGTATGAGTGTTCTGCCTGCATGTATAAAAGTACACCATGTATGTGCCATGTCTGCAGATGCCAGAAGAGGGTGTCAGATTCCCTAGAACTGTGGCTACAGACTGTTGTGGGTGCTGGGAACCAAACCAAGCAGCCAGTGCTCTTAACCACTGAGTCACCTCTCCAGCTCCTTTTTTTCTGTGTGTGTTTTGTGTGTGTGTTGTATAGATTGTGTATGTTTATGTGTTCATGTGTGTAGTAGCCAGAGGTTGATGTCAGGTGTCTTCCTCTATTGCTGTCTACCTTATTTTTTTGGTCTTTTTTGAGACAGGGTCTCCCTGTAGCCCCAGCTGGCCTGGAACTCACTATGTAGACCAGACTGGCCTCAAACTCAGAGAGATCCACCTGTCTCTGCCTCCCCAGTGCTGGGATTAAAGGTGTGCACCACCATGCCTGGCTTGTCTACCTTATTTTCATTGGATATGGTCTCTTCACTGAGCCTGGAGCTCACCAGTTGGCTAGACTAGCTGGCCATTGAGCTCTAGGGACCCACCTGTTTCTGCATCTCCCAGCACTGGGGTTATGGATGCACAGTCCTCACCTCAGTTTTTGACATGGGTGCCAGGGAACCTAACTCCATTCTTTACTGCTTGTGCTGCAAGCACTTTACCTGCTGAGCCATCTTCTAAGCATTTTTTTTTTCTTTTGGTCTTTTTGAGACAAATCTCCCTGTAGCCACAGCAGAGCTGGAACCTGCTATGTAGACCAGGCTGGTCTCAATCTCACAGAGATCTGCCTGCCTCTGCCTCCCGAGTGCTGGAATTAAAGGTGTGTGCCACCACACCTGCCCCCCAAATCCGTGTGGGTGTGGGTGTCTCTCTGTAGCCCATGCTGGCCTTGACTTCTCTGTCCTTCAGCTTTCTCAGTTCTGGGATTACAGACATGCGCCACCTTGACAACATTTCTGGTCCCATTCTGTGCTATTTGGGAACCCCTGCACTGGACTGCCTATCCCTAGGTCTGCAGTCTCACAAGATATGCTTGGGCCTGACCTGCAGCTGTGTTCCAGCCCACCAGGACATAGTTCCTCCAGGCAAGTTGTGGGAGGTACGCTGACATCTGAATTCATAGGGGCAAATGACACAGGCACCCTCTCCACCCCCATACACTTCCATTGGCAGGCAGAACCCACTCTGTCCTGAAACTTCCTGCTCCCACAGGCACCCCAGCAGGCCACCATGGGACAAGAGGTGGTCATGACTCTGCTGACCTTCCAGAGCTGACTACCAGTGCCCTCTGCCTGCCAGCTGCCACTCTTCACTACCCAAGAGACCGGTGGTTGGGCACATCAGACAGGAGCTGGGAACTGAGAAGAGGTTAAGCAGGGAGATGAAGGATCTAAGAGGCAGCAGCAATGGAGAAAGTTAAAAATAGCCTGATCCAGCCCAGAGCAAGGAAGGAGGACAAACCTAGACTGCCGCACGTGACTGACGGGTTTGAGGATGCCTTGTGCCTCTTCTCCCTGTGCACTGAATGGGAAGAAGCTGCTACTGGCCTCCGGAGATGCCTTGCTTTGTTATCTGCCTGTGTCCTGGGGGGTCTTGAGTTGTCAGAGCACAGGGGTGGGGGTGGTTCAGGAGTCTAGGTTGGATATGGACCTGTGCCCCATCTGCCTATGAACCCAGGTGGCTAAAGCCTGGATCTGCGGAGCTACCAGTCCCCCAGGGTGCTGCCTCCTGCTGCCACTTCCCATGAGCTTTCTCCTCCTCTTCCTTCTCTTCCCTACCCCACCTCTTTCCTCCTGTTTCTTCACTGATGCAGTCAACTAACCCTCCTATGATTCTCCCTGTTCTCCAAGCTGACCTCCACTGTGGGCTTCTGGCCAGTGATGGGGTCCTATTCCAGTTCAGTGTGTCCCATCTGAGGCTCCATGGGGCAAATGGGAGTCAGACAAGTCACAAAGTTTGCCCAGTTTTCTGGGAGGCTTCTCTGGCTTTAACTAATAAAGGAAAGTTGAGTCTCACTACTGGTCGCCTCCCCTTCCCCATTTACCTCTAATTCTGCTTGGCAGAAATGAGAGGAGGGGCATGGTGCCTTTGCTGGGGCAGTGAGAAAGGAAGGACCTAGCCACCTGCTGCCTGTCTCCTCACTCAGCCTGGGAAACCACACCCCTTCCTCCTGCTTTCCTTACTATCCTGGGTTCTTAAGTCATGTCCTGTGCACCCCCCACTGCCACATTCCAGGGTCAGGAGCTAGAGAGGACTTGAGTCACCCAGAATGGTCATTTACAGAGAGGCGAGAGACACAGGTTGGTGTGAGCTCCACGGAAGCCCAAGATGTGATCTTTAATCTTTAATGTGGGCTCCTGGCCCCGCCTCCCCACCCCAGCCCAGATGACATATTTACAGGATGCGTAGGGACCTGGGTCCAGTCCAGGCGAGTACAGCCTTCACTCCTCCCTGGACACTGCCACGCCAGGCACTGCTGGGGTGGAGCAGGAGGATGCAGACAGCTGGGGGTCAGGGTCACAGGAAATCAGGAAATCTTGTGTTCTTTGTGTCCCCGCCAGGGACATATGGGCACCTACAGACATGCCCATGTATGCAGAGGCATTGACAATCGTGCAGAGGTGTGGATCCACATGCCTGTGTCCAGGTGCACTGCCAACTGTGTGCAGGTGTGCCACCCAGTGGGAGTCTCAAGGTATCCCAGTAACGGCAACATCCAGCCCTTCTGCCCAGCCTCAGCTAGTGGGACTGGTGGCCTGGGTCTGGCCTGAGGGACACCCACCCAGTGTCATCAATAGGACAATGCCAGCTGGAGCTCAGTACTGAGGACCCCAACTGTAGCAGGCACTACCTGGCCTTGCCGCTGGGGTGGCTTATCTAAACAGCCATTTCCTTCATGATCCTTCCCCAAAGAGGCCTCAAAAACAGGACCAACTCAAACGGGCAACTCTCAGGGATCCTGGAGTGTCCAGAAGCCACTGATGAGCCTGAGTGGGGTGCCCCATGATAAGGTGGCACCTTTCATTTTTGGCTTTCATCCATAAGGTAGCCTGCCCCCATCTTGTCTTGCCAGCTGGCTTTTAGGGCAAGAAGCCAGAGCTTCTCAGTCTCACACAGGGTCATGAAGGCAGGCTGGCCATGGCAGACTGTGTGGGCAGGCTGAGCAGTGCTGCTAGCCTTGGCTATGGTCTCAGGGTGAACTGTAGCAAAGACCAGAGGAGGGCAGACGGGTATCTGTAAACTTACTACTCAGCCCTAGAGTGAATAAGGGTTTTGATGGGGCCTTGAGGACTCTTCTAGAAACCTAGGATCATCCATGAGACCTGCCCTTTCCTGATCTCCACATCACAGGCACTAACCCTGGGGGCACCAGGACACCTTGGCTCTTCCTATCTAGAGTCCTCTATAAGAAGATAGCCCGTTCTAGAACCGCCAGGCCACACTGGGGGTACCTGAACCCTGAGACAGCCCCAGAAACATCCTTCTTGAAAGGGGGGATGGTGCCATTTTATTTCAGGGACTATATTTTTGAGACCCTTCCCCTCAAATGCATGCGACCTGGCAGGGTCAGGATGGTCAGTTTGGAATTGAAGAGAGTCTGGGATGGAGTCACCACACCCATGAGCTAAGCTGTGGGCACGGGACAGGCAGCTTTGGTTTGAATCAGCACTCTTAATTCTCCTAAGCTGGGTGGGGGTAGAGCAGGCAGGGATGCCCAGCTCCTGCTGGGTTCAGTGGCAGGATTCCAGATGTGAGCCTGCCCGGGGAGGGCCTGGGAGGTCTCAAGGCCTCAGACCCTCCAGGCCCTCCTGTGTCAGAAGCATCGCTACAGCTGCCCGGGCCCCAGCACCCCATGATTACATTCATCAGTTAGGTTCAGTTTAAAAAAAAAAAAGTGTAGATGTCAGTCCCTTCCCCTAGGTCCCAGAGAGCTATGACCCTGGTCCCAGCTGCCTTGTTTTGAAGAAGGGACATCTGGCTGTGTCCACTGGTGGCTGCCTGCCCCCACCAGGCACCATTCCAGGCCCCCACTTGAGATGTGGCAGTCTGTGATGATAGAAGCTACATTCACATGGGGAGATGGGTGCAAGGCCAAAGCCGAATGAGGCGGGGTGGGGGACCAGGTAGGAAGTGCCCTCCTCCAGGCCCCTCCACCCAAGTGGTCTGAAGGACAGGGCCACAGCCCCAACCCCCAACCCCTGTGCAGCCAGGAGTTGAAGGGTTTGGACCTGGAAGACATTTGCACGGTGCCTCCCTCTGTGGCAGGGTGGGGGCAGCCTCGTAGTTCAGGGACGAGACGGTGGGTGCCAGGCTCGGAGGGAGCAGGGTGGCACTTAGGCCCCTCCGGATCTGGAATGGAGAGGGGGCATCAGGGGAGGATATGAGGCTGGGCCCTGAGGGAGAGCCCTCCAGCTGGGCCCATGGAGGTCAGTGCTGGGCCCTGGAGGCAGCAAGTCACAGGCTGGCTGGGAGGGGGTCTGGCGGAGGTCAGACAGTGGTGACATGGCAGACAAAACAGATGGGACGCAGAGGGAGGCCCGCTCTTAGGGGGTAGGGATTGCAGGGCACAGTTCCAGCGCCCACCCGGCCATGGGACCCAGCCGTAGTAAGGACAGAAGAAGGTAGACCAGGGCCCAGCAGGCGGGGTGGGCAGGAGGAAGGGGGAGCAGCAGACTGAGGACTTGCTGCCCAGGCTGCCGGCAGGGTAGCGGGAATCCGCCCCAGCTCCCAGTCTACAGAATGCAAGGGGACGAATGAGATGGAGACAAGGACAGCGGGAGGGATGACGTGGCCGGCATCACACTGCCCCCTGCTGGGTCGGGTCATACCTTCCTCGTCGGATGTTTCTTGAGATGCCAAGCAGAGGACAGGTGTGAGAGAGAGGAGAGAGGAGAGAGGAGAGAGAGAGAATCATGTGAGCTTCCCCTTACTCTGAAGACAGACTGTGCCACAAGAGATCTAACCCAAATGGGTCGAGGGTCCAAATCCAGATTCTACACTAAGTCACCAAGTGACCCTAGGCTTTAGGGCTCCTCCAGTGCCCTGTGAGGGGTCTAGACTACAATGTCCTGGAGCAAATGAGCTGAAAGTGGGTAGGAACTGGGGAACATATACCCAAACTGGACAGGCCCTGCCCACCTCTGCCCTGGCAGTGCTGGGATGCACTGAGGCACAGTGGAGCCTAACCCTGGCAGTGTTCAAGAGGCTGGAGGTCAAGGCCCTTACTGTGAAACCTGGTATTTCAATATGAGCAAGTAATTGTTTTAAATGCTTGAACAAACGATGAGCTGGCTTGAACCAGTGATGTATGAGCTCTGGGTAAGCTAACTTCTCAGAGAGGCTGCTCAGCTCCAACATTCTAGGGTGCTGAACCCCCAAGGGCCTGGGGGTATTTAGGGTACATGTGTCTCTTACTTAAATCCCCAGCCCGTGCCGCCCAGGACGATGGCTGCGACCAGGACAGCCCCGGCGATGGAGCCAATGATGATGTTGGTACCGCTGGGACCTGGGGAGGAGGGCAGGGCTCGGTTGGCAGGGACAGGCATGGAGAATGGGTGATATAGACCCTGCTGGCCAACTCCTGCCTCACCTTTGTATCTCTCTGTCTCCCCCGTGGGTGGAGGTGTGGGCAGGGGGTTGTGGATGCTGCAGTCTTTGCCTGTCCAGTCTGGATGACAGATGCACTTCCCTTCATTGCTGCAGACCTACAGGCAGGGTGGAGCCAGCAGAGATAAGCAGAGCCATAGCCCTGTGTTAGCTTCTCCCGGTATGCCACCCATGGCCTCCAGGCACCCACCCCATGATGGGAGCAGATCCGGCGCTCCCCACTGCCTGGGCAGGTGCTGAAGTTGAAGGCAGAGGCTGGCAGGCAGCGGTGGTCCAGGCACAACATGTTGGGCCCGCAGGCTGTGCCATCCTCCACATAGCTCAGGTCCGAGCCATCAGCTAGCTGCACATGGCCCCCCCTGGAGAAACAGTACAGCCATCCTCAATCCCTGTTCTCTAGCTGTCCTGAGAGTTGTCACTTCCCCTTCCCTGCCATGTCCGCAGCCAACACCTGCAGTCCAGCTCCTTGCCCTGGTGGTAGAAGGTGACACTGCTGATGTCTCCTCCAAGATCCCCTAGCCGAGGAGCTCCAGAGATGTTGACGCAGAGGAGGAAGCCACAGAGCACATCCCTTTGGGGCACATGGGGACAGTGAGTCCAAATTTTACCTCAGACCCAAGAACTGAATCTATCTGCCCTTCCCCTTGGGTCTCACAGGCCCCTCCTAGAGCCTGCTGCCTCACCTTTGAAGAGCCCCTCACCCCAGAGCTGGGAATGTCCAATGGATGGATGCAGTGGCTACTCACTGCTTATTGCACTGGACCCAGCCGGACCCCTTGCGCCCACAGTTTCCACGCTCTGTCCCCTCCACGTTCAGTTTCTCATAGCAGAAGCGATCAGCAGCCACTGGAGGGAAATGATGCCAGGGATCACTCCACCAAGCCCAGGGCCCAAACCCAGGGCCTCAGACCTGTACCTCCCTTACCCTGGCCTGACCCCAGACTGGCTGGGATGCCCAAGGTCCTGGCAAGCCACACATTTGGTGGAGGGCATATATTTAACCAGAAGGTGCCCCTCCCCAGCTCTCAATTCTGCATCTTTCAGAGTCTGTTCCCCATACCCAGCTGGACTCACCATGGCCCCAAAGGGCCTGGCACTGCCGGTCCCGTGTTTTACAGCGACCTCCATAGCAACGGCCCTGAGAGACCAAGAGGAGACAGAGCATGGAGACACTGGGGGGATCAGAGTGGAGACAAGACCCCACTGAGCCCAAATGAGGCTGACCCTCCCACCTCTTATACCTGCTCATGATCACAGTAGTAACCATCCAGCTTGTGAAGGTTAGGGGGACACTGTGGAGAGAAGGACTGGATGAGCAGTGTGGCCCCAGGACTGAGCTAAGGCCCTAGGGGAGGAATATAGGGTGCCAAATGCCACCCAAAGGGTGCTTATGTTGCAGGGCTCTTTCACATCGGGACAGGGGTCTGTTTGGCTCTGTGGATCTGACCATGTGAATTCCCAGATCTTTCCCAGGCTCTCTCAGTTTCCTGCACCCATTACACTGGTGGCATGAAAGAAGAAAATGCCTGTCATCTAATTAGGATTGAATAGATGTTAACCAATGTTATTATCCACTCGGATCCCTAGCATACACTAGACACTATGCCAGGCATTGGGAGTACCAGCCAGACTATAAATGCTGGTTTAATGATTGAAGGAACAGAGCCAGCAGATACAACGAATCCCTTCCTCGGAGAAAGACACCGAGGCTGGTAAGCGGCGGGTATGGCCAGTTGCTGTGCAGAGAGGACCCCGAGAGTAGTCACGCAGAGCCAAACCTATCGGTAAGGTAGGGGCTGTGTTGCCGGAGCCTTGGCGGACCTGGCTTGAGTCCCCGGTGCAGGTCTCTGCGATGTCACACTCGTTCACTGCTTCTCGGCAGGAAACACCTCGTGGCTCATACTAGGAAAGGCATGCATGCGTTTCTGGGGAGGATACCTCGCCATCGCCCTCCCGGGGTACCCGATTCTCTTCCTAGGATCCTGTCGTCAGGTTTGTTTCACTTTCCGGTTCCCCAGGGCCTCTCAGCTGCTCCCTGGCCCGCCTCCAACACCTCGGGGAGGGGCCAAAGTCCAGACCTTTGCCCTCCATTGGTATGTTCTTCGCGACAGGCCCCACCCATAGAGGTGCTCCGCTAAGGCTCCTCCTCCCACCCATGTCCTGTCGGATGGCGTCCTATCGTCTCTTTGGTCCTGGCTCCGCCTCCTCCCCACCCGCGGGCGGGTCCTCCTCACCTTGCAGCGGCGACAGCAGAGCCCGTCGCTGCACATGGCGTCGTGAGTCAGGGTGCATTTCTTGCAGCAGTTGCCACCTGCGCGATTGCACTCCTGGGGGTCGCGGGAAGAAGCGGAGGGAGGCGGGTGAGCCGTGGTCCTCCTCCTTGGACTCCACCTCCAGTCCACCCGCGCATCCTGGGAGCGCACAAGTATCACTCACCTGCACTGAACCGCAGTCGCACTCCTCTCCCGCCTCCACGAAGCCGTTCCCGCACTCGGGGGGATCCAGGAGCTGGACAGGGAGGGGATGTCGGGAGCGTGGCCTGGACCCTGCCCCCCCGTCCCGCGCCGCCCGTTCTCAGTCCTGGGATTGATACCTTGAGGGGCTTGTTGAACAGGCAGCTCCCGCCGCCCTCCTGCAGAAACTGGTTGTACTCGTCGATGCTGCAGCGTGAGAACTTGCGGGGCAAGTAGAACCTGGGCAGGTGTGAGGGAACCGTACTGCTGGGTGCTCCCCTCAACCCTCCCAAGTGAGGAGGTTGAGGATCTGCCCCGCAAATGCGCGACAGTCTTCCTACATGCCCATCTCGGAATGGACAGAGGACGCCACTTGTTTCACTGAATTCAGGACTCAAACAAGTCTTGGGGTGCTCTGGAGGGACGGCGCCCCACAGGAGGCTCTGGTGCCGCCCAGTGGCCAGAGCACGCATTACAATATAGACAATTTTGGTGTCCTAGCTGGGCTATAGGGCTCTTTACCTGCGCTGTATTTGCACATAACCTGGCCTGTTGGAAGCCTGAGTGGTCCACTGAGCTAGGCCTCTTAAAGCCATCGGTCCAGATGGCCTTCCAGTGTTCAATGAAGGACTTCCCTTGCCCAAGACCCTCTCCTAAGTCTGTCCCCAAGAACTCACCCAGTGTCCTCCATGATGCAGCCCAGCCAGATGTCTGGACACTTGCAGTCCCCTGAGAGGATATTTAGGAGCACATGAGACAGTGGGAGGGGAGCACCCCCTCACTTACCCTCGCTTCACTTCTAGAAGTGCTGAGTGGGTCTGGACTGGCTGTGGGGTCCAGGGTCGGTACCTGCTGAGCCACGGTGCTTATTCCACATCATGCCCAGGTTCTGCCCCAGTGTCTGAGCGAGGGTCACTGCCATGGCACCCATATTGCCATACTAGGAGTGGGGAAGATAGAGCACAATATGTTTACATCCTCCTAATAGCTTCTGCACTTTGGCAGACCCTCCTCGGCCTCCCAGCCATGGCACCCCCTTCTTACCTCATTCACACCCCCACCCCGGGACAGTGAGCAGATACCCCCTACATAGGCTGCTCCACTGCTGGTGCTCTGGAAAGTCCTGCCTCTAAAAGGGAGACAGTTGTCAGTGTGACCTACCCTGTTAGTCAGGGCTTCCGGGGCTGTGAGGAGGTGGTCAGGGTCTGGGCACATCTGCACTAGAGCTATTCTTGGGGGAAATTCTCAGGGTAGTAGCAGTGGTCCCCAGCCCTTCATATCAGCCTGTTGACCTCAGGCCAGCCCCTCCTTTGGCTTCCTTCACCCATAGGCTAAGCCAGGGGCTTTAAGGCCCTTTGATTAGATCCCCTCGCCCCCCACTAAGGAACTGGATCACTGAGGACGGGATGATGAAAAAACAAAGAAGGGACTAAATAGGGGTGGGAACAGAAAAAGCCCACCAAGGCTAAGGCAAAGAGCACATCCCCTACACAGCCTAAGGGGCAGAGGATGCCCAACTAGTACACGTGATAGGGGCAGGTGGCAGGTGCAAGGCGAGCCTCACCCACGGACTCCAACTCTGAGAAGAGTGCCTGGCACAGGCAGCAAGCACTGGCAGCTAGTGAGGCTGGCACGGTGCACAGTGTGGGGACTCACGAGAAGAGGTGGGTGGCATCACTGGGCTCAGGCAGACCCTCCCGCCGGTAGACCATGAGTCGGGCCAGGGTCTCCAGGAGGTCATCCTGCACCTGGATCTTGTCTCCATCTGCCCATGTCTCCATGGCAACCAGCACAATTCGAGTGTTGAGCTGCTCCTTGTATATCTGGACCCGGACCCAGAGGGGAGATGAAGGGGGCTGGAGGGAGGCCTTAATCTGTCCCTCCATGAAGTGGGGGTCAGAGACTAACAGTGATCCCTGGATGTGGGGGGTATGAGGAGAGGAGAGTAAGAGGGCTGCTCACCACATCTGCCAGGTTCACCACGGACTTAGCAAAGTTGCTGGTGAGGACCACCGACTGCCGCATCTGCTCAAACTGTGAAGAGAGGAGGGGAAGAGGGTGAGGCTCCTTTGGGCCTCTCCTCTCAGTGTCCCCCTCAGCCTGGAACTCACCAGCTGGTGGTCGTTGATCACAATCAGCTCCACGTACTTGGTTTCACTGTGTACTGTGGGGTGGCCCCTGCGGACCTGGAGGGCGGGTGGGCACTTGGAATCAGTTCCCTCCATGTCTGGCTTTATGGCCAAGCTGTGGACAGACTTATGGGGAAGGGGGAGCCTGGTCTCCAGCCAGGGATGGTGCCAGCCCCCAGCTGGCAGAAGGGCCCATTCTTCTGGGAACAGAAGACAGGCAACCTCTGTGGGCCTAAGATTGGGACCTGTGTCATCACCAGTGTTAAGGAGGAGTTGGGGGGCTCTTCCTGGACATGGTTCCCTGGTCCCCAACCTCATTACCCTGAGCCTTCCTTTGCCTAGCCATGGGTAGGGATGACCTGCCCCAGACCACAGCCTGAGGTCTCTGCTGCCCGAGGTCTGTGCGGGCCCCGTACCTGCCTTTTCCTTCTCAGCTTGGGCCAGGTAGGAGAAGCAGACTGGGCAGGGACAGCAAACAGGCAGCCTGTGGGGAGTAACCAGTAAGAGGGGTCCAGCTGCCCTGCCCTACCCCCTCACCCCTCCCTTACCTGGTTCCCTGCATCCGAGGGGGGCTGGGAGGAGAGGGGTCCGGTAAATGAGGTGGGGAAGGGGGCCCTGCAATGAGGGAAATTAGTTCTTGGGGAGCCAACCAGGTCTCCTCTGGGCCCAATTGGGGGCAGCTCCAGCCCTTCCCCCACCCCACCCTAGGGTGACCCAGAACTGGCCAGAGCTCCCATGTCGGATCTGATCTCCTAGATGCTCAGATTCCAGGGTCAAGACCTGGGGGTGCCCTGAGAGACAGGGGCAAAGGACACTGGAACCCAGTAGGAGGTCACTTGGGGGACAGAGGGGATATTGGAGCTGGGGGCACAAGAGGCAGGAACCAGAGCTGGGGTCATTCAGGGCAGGGAGGCTGTGGTTACTGTGGGGGAGGAGGAGGAGATAGCCATAACTGCTGGAGGCAAGCATAGCTGGACCATCAGAGGGATGGCAAGGGTCTGTGCAGGCCTTACCTGTGGGTATCCCCAAGGTCCAGCCATCTCCTGGGGCTCCACGATATAAGTCAGGTTCCCATCAGAGAAGACCCCACTGTGGAGAGAGAGGCATAGCTCCCCACCATGCTGGGCCAGGCAGAAGGCGCCCCTGTGGTTCAGCGTACCCTTCTTCCCCTATACTCACTGCAGCCCCTGACAGGTGGAGAGCGCAGCGAAAGAGTGTGGGTTGTCCCGGAGTTTCCCATGGTAGTAGCAGTGGTCTCCAGCCCCCTGTGGAGCAGCCGGGCAGTGAGGGAGGTGGCAGGAGGGAAGGAGGACAGTACAGGGGCTGCAGTCTCAGGACACCAGCGTTCTTGAGTCTGCTTCTAAGCTGGTGGTGCCTCTAATTTCTTATCTCACTGTGCGCAAGTTTCTGACACTTCTTGGGCCAGCTTCACCTACCCCATAAAATGGGACCATCGGGCCACAACAGTTCTCTTGGCTATCTCTTGGGGCTGATAAGGGATCCCAGACTCCTTGAGAACAGAAACTGGTTATAGTTATGCAACACCGGCTTTGCCCTAGGCCCCATTCTGAGCACTTACCACACACTATTTCATTTGACCAGCACCTGCTGTAGACTCACCCTCAACCCTCATGCACAAGCTCACAGCCACATGTGGGCTGTGCTGAGGAACTGTGACAGCATGGTTTCTGAGCAGGCTCATAGGTCAGAGGGGACCAGCAGCACACGCTTGTCCCAACTCTACTTCCTGCAAAATTATTTGTGCTCTAGTTACTAGAATGGGCTGAGGGGGCAGGCTATTTATAGACACTCATTCATCTTTGTTCAGGCTCCAGGGCTTTCAAGGCTAGGACCCTGATATGGCAGGCAGCCCGGAATCCTGGGGCAAGAGGTATATAGTTCAGGGGTAGATCTCTTACCTAGGATGTGCAAGGCCCTGGGTTTTGTCCCCAGCACTGTCAAAGTGTGTGTGTGTGTGTGTGTGTGTGTGTGTGTGTGTGTTTCCTCCAAGGCCCCTGCCCAGAAGATTCTGGGGACATAACAATCATGATACAATGAGGACCCTCCAGGCAAGGCAAGAGGCTGGATGGGGGTCAGACCTTGGCCTGAGTGAGGAGGGCTCTGTGTCCCATACCATCTAATCTGTCCACCTCAATTGCTGGTCCTTGGCACCTACAAAGTAGGGAGAGATGGGAGGTCTCTAGGGGCCAGGCTATCCTGAGTGTGTCCCTGACTTACCTCCAGCTGTCCTCATCTTTTCTTTAAAAAAATATTTTATGTATATGAGGAGTATATTGCCTGCATTGTGTGTAAGTGCACCTGTGTCATACAATGCCCATGGAGGTCAGAAGAGGTCGTTGGATTCCCCTGGAACTGGAGTTACGAATGGTTGTTAGCAACATGTGGTTGCTGAGTATCAAACCTGGGTCCCTTGCAAGAGCAGTCAGTGCTCTTAACCACTGAGCCATCTCTTCAACCCCCTCTCTTTTTAAAGTATTTTATGTGTTCCCCTTTTTTCAGTGCTGGTGACAAAATCTTCATACATGCCAGGCCAGTGCTAATTCATACCTAGTCCTGTCCTTATACCTGTGACCACAGAATAGTACCTCCCTGACCCCTTCCAAAGACACTTACAGTGCTGTGCTGGGTTGTCCCCTCCCGGCTGAAATGGCGTTCCACATACTGTGAGGAGAGGAGGTGACTGAAACAGCAAAGTGGCACGGGGAAGGAGGGTCATTGGTGAGGACAGGACCCACTTGGGTTCCACTCCAGCTTAGGATCCAAGTTTCCCAGGCCCCCCAGTCAGCCAAGCCACACTCACTGGTTCAGCTCATCACCCAAGATCCAAGCCACCCATCACCCAAAATCCAAGCCACACTCACTGGTTCAGCTCCAGGTCCAGAGTGAAGTTTGAGTTGAAGGCAGGGATGACGAAACTCACCTGGGCCAGGTGCACAGGCTATGGGAGGGAGGGCCAAAGGGAAGTCAGCCTGAGGTGGGGGTCAGGGACACTGGGACAGCCCTGAGCAAGGGAGGCTCAGCTCCAGAAGCTAAAGGGACCCCTCTCTGGGGGCAGGGGAGCTGCTTTGCACAAAGTTCTGTCCTCCAACCAAGACCCTGTTCCTTTCCTGGGGGCAGTTGCTCATCTCTGGGCCCACCCTCCACCCAAGCTGGGGCACCCTTGGCTCTCCAGTGGCTTCCTGGCTTAGCTTCCTTGAGCAGCACGGACAAAGAGGGGCAGCTCAGTCTGCCCACGGCCTCATGCCAGGCCCTCAGAGCTGTTGGCAGGGTCACCCCAGCCTCAGTACAACAAAAGAAAGGTTCCCAGGGAAGTGGCGCATGGTCCCAGCCCAGGGTGAACAAGAGATGGGAAGCAGGCCCCTGCTTTCTGTTCCCATCCCCAATCTACATAGGTGGACTTGGGCTTGCAGACATGTGGAACAAGTGGGAAATGACCACTGGGCCTTGGATGCTGGGCAAGGGCAGGTGCCATCTTGCAGGAAGACAGACTGTGGCTCCCCCACCCAAATCTATTGCCCTCTGCTGTCCAAGCAGCTCATCTTTAATATTTCAATCCCATGGTTAATTTTTAAACACGGAAGTTTTCCTGATAAATTTTTCAAAGGGGCATATGCAATGGGGCTGGGAGGCTCCAGGTTGCCATGGCAATGGACTAGGCCTGAGCAAGATGGCTGCCTTCTCTGCCTGGGTGCCCAGTCACTTGGGGTGGGGGTGGGGGATAGAGACATCAAAGACTGGAGGGAAAGCTCCCCTCCCCGACAGAGAAGAATGGCAGCAGAGCTTGGGCCAAGGGGGAGCTGACCTGAGTCATTTACCCTAGGGACAAACCTAGAGCCCTAGACCCATCTCAAGCTGACAACTAATCTTTGGTCTCACAAAAGACCTGGAAGCACAGGGGAGACCTGGAGGCTTCTGTCCCATCTCTTTAGGAAGACCAAACCCCAGATGCCAGGGCAAGAGCCTTGCCACTGCTCTGTGGGTGGGAGTTTGTGCTCCCTGCCTGGCTTTCATGATGGAGCGCACCTTGCAGGAAGAGAGCCCTGACACCAAGGGAACGGGGCCCACTGCCCAAGCCTAGTTGAGTCCTCTACCACGTAACCATGACCAACCCTTTCTGAGCACTGCTTAGGTTCCATGCATTGGTCTGAATGGTTCACATGCTGCCAATTTGATCTTCTCCACAACCCTGTCCTCTGTATCTGACAGATGAGAACTGAATCTTAAAGAAGCTAACTACTTTGTACAAAGTCACACAGGTAAGAGGTGTTAGTGCCTGGTGTGGTGATATACTCTGCAATCCCAGTGCTTGGGAAGCTGAGGCAGGAAGAATGCAAGTTCTACCTGGGTCAGCCTCAGCTGCACTGTGAGTTCCAGGTTAACCTGGGCCAACAAAGTGAGAAGCTGTCTCCAAAAAAATTAAAAGTGGAAGATGATATTCAAGCCTAGGGAATCTACTTCCAAGGTCTTCCCTGGAAAGGCAAATGAGATGGAAGTGGGTTCCGGGCCACAGGAGGCTCTGAGAAGAGCAGACAAGGTGGGGGTGAAGGGCCAGAGCCTGTGAGGGCAGACCTATGAGCCCCAAGGACACAGACTCACCCTATCCCAGGCTATCCAGGATTCCAAGCTCCATCCTGAGCCCCCAGAGCATCGATCAGACTCAAAATAGAAAGCCAAGGACAAGGCGTCCCTGCTACTCGTCCCCCCAGCCCTCCTCTGCTCTCCCCTCCCTAGGCCTGGCCTGGCTCTGTTTCCCTCTCCCCTACTCTACCTGGGCAGCTTTACCCTCCCCCGAGGACTGTTCCTGCTTGTCCTGTCTGTTCCCAGTCTGGCTGCCTGGAGAAGCAGCTTAGTCAGGCCCCTTGCCCTGATTCTATTCTCTTAGGCTGTGCAATGTTAAGGATGACCCAGCAACCTCTCTGAGCCTCAGATTTTTTTTTTCTCTGAAGAATGTGAGTGCACTTTTAGAGCTAGGAGGCGGGCTTCTGGGAAAAACTTGGGACAGATGGGAAACAGTGCCAGACATGACAGGGTCCCTGCTGCCAGGGATGATCTGTGTGATGGCCCACCCTTCCACTGGGGATCAGGACAGAGGGAACTGAGTCAGAGGGATTGAGAGGCCAGGCAGGGACTCTGTAAAAGACAGTGGGAGAGAGTTGAGAATCCAGGTACTTAAGGCCTGCTGGCCCAGCCTGGCCTGACTGGGCACAGCTCTGTTCCATACTGGGGGGAGAGCCGGATCAGCAAGCCCACCTGAATCCCAGGACTGCTGCCTCCAGGCACTGGGCTCCAGCTGGCTCCAGGGCCCGCAAGACCCTGTCAAGCTTTTGACCAGTGCTCTACCAAAGTCATCGACAATCCTTGCCAGGCCTGGCTCAGTGTCCCTGCTCTGGCCCCAGCCCTGACGCCTCTCATTACCCTCAGTCCCTAAGGCCCTCCAATCCTGAGGTCACAGCAGTCTTCAGCCACCTCTGCCTCCCTGCCAGCTCAGAGTTGCTCCAGACTGCTGGATGTGACCCTGTGTCCTGCACTTGCCTTTTGCTTCCAATGTCACCCCAGTGCTCACATGTTCCAGCTCATTTATTTGATCTCAACCTGCCCGAGCTAGCAGGTCCATATGGAGTGAAACTGGGTGGTGACAGGCCCAGGCTCATGCTGGGGAGATACCAGGTCAAGTCTCACCCCTGCGCAGGAGGTTGTGTTTGCCATGTCAGCTATGAGGCCTGCCGGGTGACTGCCTCTTCACCTGACCCGTCCCTGTTGCTGAGCCTTCCACTTTCTCAGGCACCTGCTTCAGGCTGCCCATGTCTCACCTTCTCCATGCCCTGTGTTGGGCCTAACCAGATAGAGGGTGCAGAGAGGGTGACCACCTTCTGTCCTAGACCTCCAGAGAGTTCCAGTGGTGGAAAGGGGTGCTAAAGATCAGCAGGATTCCAGAATGCCCCAGAAAACATGAGTCGCAGAGTCCTACCCCCTATAGCCTCCAGGCGCTGCCCCTCAAGCACTCTGTACCCCACCTCCTCTTGCCCTTATCTTCAGAGCGGGCATCTTTTGGTGCCCACAGGGCTTAGCTCATTCACTTGATCAATCTCTGTGTAACCAGGTTTTACATATACACACACACACACATACACATACATATTATACACACATACACTCAATCACTGATTCACCTTTTCAGGTAAATCCTTTAATCCTCGGAACAAGGGCTGCACCACCCTTTTCCCCACCCAAGGGTAGAGTGGTTTTGCAGCAGGCCTGAGGAGCTGCTCACCCCCAGCCTCAGTTTCTTCACTGTTAAAAATGGGGTGTTGCCGGGTGTGGTGGCGCACGCCTTTAATCCCAGCACTTGGGAGGCAGAGGCAGATCTTTGTGAGTTCGAGGCCAGCCTGGTCTACATAGTGAGTTCCGCGGGGCTACAAGGAGACCCTGTCTCAAAAAATACCAAAAAAAAAAAAAGGCTAAAAAAAATGGGGTGTCATAAGGGTGACATGAAGCGCTGTTCAGCAGGATGGGTTGGGGTTTGTAATCGCAATGTGAGGTCCCTCATTCCTGGCAGTTGAATGGGGTTTTGAGGAACTGGATAAAAGACCTCCTTGGCTCACTTCCTGTGACAGGGATGTGCCCCAGATCTGGGTGGGTTGTACTGATTTACCTGGGAGGGATCTGGCCTCCCTTTCTATGCTTGGAGACATCACCACCTCTTGGGGTTGGGTGGTTGCAAATGGGGGAGGAGCCAGAGGCAGGGGCCACACTTGGGAGCCCACCTCACCCAACAGCCAACCCCCTAGCCCTACCCCCAACAAGGTAGGAAGGCTCATTCATCAACAGGGCAGCAGGCACTGGACAATGAGAATAGTTGCTGAATTTCAAATGATGGGATTTGACCTAAATTTTTGAGGACAGAGTCACCTCCTTACAGGGTCATCAGTCCCTCTGGGGACAGACTCTGGACAGCTGGGTTCCTCTAGGCGGCCAGGAGGGTGCCTGGGTAAGGCCAAGCCCACAGGCTGGAGTCCTGGGAGAGGACTGCAGATGCCATGGTGTGCGCCTCTCAGATTCCTACCTGGAGCTGGACAGGTAACCCCCAAATACTCTGTCCTTGGCGTCCAGACACCAATACCCTTCAGGGAACCCCTCATTCCAGAGCCCCAGACAGAGCTGTGCTGTGCCTCTAGCCATAAGTGCAATCACAGAATGACTTTGTCTCAGAGGCTCCAGGATCCTGGGGCTTGCTGCCCCTATCCCTGTATTGCATAGGCTGGGTTTCACACCCTTGCCCTCCACTCCACAGCAGTTACAGTAAAGGTAAGCTCTTGAAAGAACTGTGCCAGGGACAGCCTGGCTCAGGTGAGAATTACCTGTAGGCCTGGAACCCTGACTCCTGACCCTACTCACTTCCCCCAGCCTTGCCTGGCCTCCCCTTGGGTTTCCTCAGACCCAAGGAAGATTCACACAACAGCTTCGATGGAATTTAAAAAGTTGACCTTCAGACATATGCAGCCTCATGAGCCCATGGTGCCCTGGTCCAATTGCACACTGTGGCCCTATTGTCCTGCCTGACCCTCAGCTGAAGGCTCCCTGTGACTACGACTTTCTGGATTTTCAGTTCTCCCACTTCTCAGCCACAGGCCCCATCTTCTTCCAATAAGGGAAGTGGGGTATTGGGAGCAGCCCACTCCTGTGTCTCTTGTTATTGTCGCTCAGTGAGAGGCGGGCAGTGAACTGGCTGAGTGCTGCTGTTGGTACCGATCTGGACTCTATGACTGAAGTGCTGTATGATCTGGGGCAGTTACTTGTGAAATGGGAACAATAGTTCTGGCTCCTGGAGTTTGGATGAGGAATAATAATTTCAGGCACTTAAAGGCAGAAGTGTCTGCTCTAGCTAGGGGTGACAGTTTTTTCCTGGCCAAATTCCTTTCTCTCTGCCACAGCCCCATCCTTCCCCAAAGCCAGGGCCTCCATCACACAAAGCCCTTTTCCATCACTGCCACCTGGAGCAGGCTGGGACACAAGTTATGATCATCCTGAGCTTAGGAATCAGGAAGATGGGGTTCAGAAAGGCGACATGACTAGCCCCCAACCAGGGCAGGCTCCCTGAGGCCAGCATCCCCCAGCATCCCATAACACTAGGAATGGTGCTCAATGAGGCCCAGCCTGCATGCCTTGGGAAAAGGCTGCTCCTGTTGGGTCCTGACTTGCCCTGCACTGGTTCCATCAGCCCTGAGCTCTGACCCTGGGGAGCACTCTGGGATGGTTGGAGATGTGCCCCTCAGACTCAAACCCAGGATAGTTCAGTGGGAAGTGCCCTGGCCTTGGGGGAAATTACTCCCAGCTCCACTGCTTAAGTTCTGATTGAGTTTGGGCAAGTTGTTTAACCTCTCTGAGTCTGAACTGGCTCGTGCAAAATGGAGCAAACAGAAGGTATCTGCCTGTGGTCTTATGAGAATTAAGTACACATAGGATTCAGTGACTAGCCCATCGCCTTGGGAGCCCTCTCCTTCAACACCTGGGCAGGTCTTCTGCCTTGGGAAACTGAAGGACTGAGAAGGCAGGGCAAGACCCCTGGGAAGCCTGCATGAGGTCCCAAAAAGGTCTCACAGCCCCAGAGAAACCTCCACTGGAGGTGACCACAACCCACGGATCCACAGAGCCCTTCACTCTCCCCTCTGCCCCTCAGCCCCTCAGCCACCTCTTAGGTATATTTGGATTCAGCCATTTGAATATACCCAACTCTTCGCACTTGCCATCCACTTGCTCAGGAGAACAATCAAAGACCACCCCCCCCATCCCAGGCCCACTGCACCCATCCCCATCTCCCCACACAGCCCAGGCCCACTGTCAAGGAACAATTAGCTGAAGGAGCAACTCACCCAGTGGGAGCCCTCACTTCCATCCCTGCCTGGTCTCCATGCTCCCCCCACCAACTCTTTCTCTACCCCTCAGTTTGTACATCCTCTAAAGTGCAAGCCAGCGTCCCAGCAGTCAGGCAGGGTCCAGTCCACTGTGGAGTGCCAAACAGCAGCCAGGACACCCCGTCCCCAGGCCTGGGACATCCCCAAGGCCTATCCAGCTGCCTCCCTGGGTGCCTACATGGGCACTGAAGCTGACCTCTACACCCACCCCTACCCCTTTGGCAGCTGCCAGCTCAGGACCATTAGCCCCCTCCCCTCTCTTCCTAGAGTGATGGTCCATCTATTATGCATGCTCCTTCCTGATCCACTCCATTTCTCAACTACTCCCCACTCCTGCACCACCCCACCTCTCCTCCCCCTCCCCCTTAAGGGCTTTTAACCAAGTACATTAGGCAGGGCCAGATGCCAGTCTCACAGATGTCTGTAATGTTAGCCTCCGTTTCCCTCCTTCCTCCCTCTGCCCAGCCCAATTTACCTCCCACCACTCCCAGCTGCCTAAACTTCCCAGACTTCAGTTGTACCCCTCTGAGTCTCTCCTCTACATCCCCTATTTCTGATAGGCCTTCACCACCCAGCTCTCTGCCAGCCCTGTTGGCCTGGCTAACTTTCAGCTTCAAGCTCCTGGAGAGCTGAGGCATGCTGAATGAATATTCCATCTGGGTGATTATTATTCACATGATATTAATTAATTATTAATTGCAATTAATCTCCTTCATTCCTAACCTTCCTCTGGGAGGCAGGGGCCTCGAAACTGAAAGGGACAGGGCACAGGTAGAACAGGCATTTGCAGATGAATTCTGGCCTCAAAACATTTTGAAGGCTCCACTTTCTGCTAGGAGAGGAAGAAGCCTGTCTGTGCACAGTGGGAAACCGAGGCAGGAGTAAGCACCAAACTAGTCCAAGCAAGGCGGCTAAGGGTGGCTTTGGTGGGCACCTGGGAGTGTGAATCCCTGACTCCGCACTTACCTATTTGGTGCTGCCCTGCCTCCAAAAACCGTTTTAGGCAGAACTGTTCTGCAAGCAGTGGGGGCTGGTGGAAGCCTGACCCCAAACAGAACTGAAGCATGAGCATATCAGAGTCTGTGAATGTGGAGGGCAGGGGGGTCATCATAGTAATAGGAGGAGCTGGGAGCTCGACAGGCCCAGTGTCCCCACTGCTGGGCTCCAGCCCCACCTGATGGCCCATTGCACAGTAAAGGAAGCTGCAGGGGCCACAGCCTCAGCGGGTGGCACCAAACCCTAGCTACTTGGGTAGCCTCCCATCAGCTGGCCAGGCCTGTTCCAGCCCCCTGGCCTCATTATCCAGTCCCATACTCACCGTCCCCCGGGGCGGATCCTGGCGGACCCTGGTGTCCAGTTGCTGCTTTCGGACCTCTCCCCCGGAGCTCTCCCTTACCAGACGACTGGGCTCTGTGACCTCGGGACCCTCTGGGCTCCCCACTTGGGTTGAGCTCCTCCAGTACAGAGCTCCACTGGGACCCAGGGCCCCAACACCTGGGGAGACAAGGCCATAGCTGCAGGCAGATGCTCTCCATGGGGCAGGAGACTTGGGACTGAGGTGGGCACACCCCAGACCCCTCTGTCGCGGCCCCTGGAGCCCTGAGGGGGATACCGGTGGAAGGATCTGGCTGCCTGGTAGAGGGAAGAGCCCTACCGGGTGGGGGCCAAGAGCTTCATTCTGCCCCACAGTCACGACTGCCCCCCCCAAACCCGCAGAGACCTGCAGCGTCCGGCGGCCAGCTGCAGCCGGGTGGCGGCGGGGGCCGGCCAGATCCGGACAGGTGGGTGGCAACACCTTCTGTCCTCCTCTCCCGCTACCCTGCCCTCCCCGCACTCGGGACAGGCTGTCACCCCGGGCACTGCAGGAAAATGTGGCTGCAGCAGAAACCGCCGCAAAAGCCGGGGTGCGGGCCTGGCAGAGCGCGGGGGCGGGGGCTGGCGGCGGGGGTCACTCACCAGGCTGGGGGAGCGGCAGCAGCAGCAGCAGAGCCGCGATCGCCCAGAGCCGCAGCCGCCTCATGGTGCGCTCATAATCCTCGGGGCCCGGGGGCT